TGGCTTGTGTATATCGTATATATATATATATATATATATATATTATTCATACCTTCGGTGTATAGGACGCAAGAAGATTTTGACATCATATTTTGGGGAAAAAAAGGGCGTCTTATACACCGAAAAATACGGTAAATAAAAGCAAAAATATTAAATAAAGCTAGGACTATTATTAATAAAACCCTGAATAAATCAAAATGTTATAAAAATTACTGTTGTAAATGGTTACCAAATTATTAAACAATTATTCTAGAAATATATATCTTTTCTTGAAGGTTAGAAATAATTATTGGTATTTGTTGATAAGGGATACGTGTAATAATTTTTGTTATCACAGGTTATATTTGCAATTATTTATACACTTCTAAAAGTGAAATTGACATGCAATTTTGAAGATACACGGAAGAAGCAATGAAATTTGAAAATCTCTAATTAACAAATAACTATTAGTTATCGTCTATTTTTAAGCGGAAAGTTACACAATGGTCTGTCTGTGTTATTGCCACACGAGGATCGAAATCCAATGGTTTGCGTTATAAGCCAAAAATTCCCACTGAGCCATCGGTGGCTATTGGGTATTGACAAGCTTTACGAAGTATGTGGCAACGCCCAAACACTGATAGGATAAAGCGTTACCCTGGTGGGTATTATTTGCAGATGTGACGTTATATCGCTGAACGAATAAGATTGGTGCATCAAGCTGCTGTCTGGGTGATATTACGGTATAAATTCTACGAATGGTAACACTTGAAGAAGATTGGGTGTACGGTTACTGTTTGGACGTTAGTATCGAGGCCTTAATTTTAAGTTTGGTGATTGAAGATTTTTCAGCGTAAAAGTAAGCTCATTCATTTTATTTTTATTGTATACAGTTAGTAAGTTAATATTGAAAACGATACTCTGATAGTTACAAAATTCCTGGGAGTTTATTACTGATATACCAAGTACTTAACGTAGCAATACTGCTAGTACGGAAATGGCATTTATACAAGTAATGGCTAAACAGTATCCATTATCAGTATTACATTCACAGTATCACTTGGCAGATTAGATTTCTATAACTGTGTTTTAAAATGTTTTCTGGGATTTTATATGGTATAGGGCTAAAGCTTTAATGGAACAAATTATGTTATGTTAATATGTGTTATCACATATGGTAAAATGAGAAAAGCTTTCACTTTTTAAATTAAAGTTCAGTGCATTGATATATATTACTAGTTATATTAAATACACTGATATTATTTAAACTACAAAAAATAAATTTCACCATTGTATTTATACTACACTGAAATATTGCACTTAGGCTTAGAAGTTAGAAGCACCTAGATAAACCGTGAGTTATAGGTACGTGTTAAAGGTAAACATGAAGCACATTTATTATTATATTTACCACTTGTCATTGTGTTATTGATTTTTGGGGGAGTTTCACCAACCGTTAGAAAAATTTCAAAAGATACAAACTGGATTGAAGTTGCAAGTGGGATACCTCAAGTCTATGCTGGGACCCTCCCTTTTTTGATATACATTAATGATATTTATAAGAGAATAATCAAAAATAGTTCAAGTTTGCTGCTTACATTAACATTTTGTGTGTAGTTGACTGTTTAATGAATCTGTTAAGTAATGGAAAATGGCATTTAATGAAGGCAATGAAAGGGAAATGCATTTGGACTACCCTAATTTAGACTGATTACCATTTTGACGGAAGTCAACTCAATCCTGTTATAGAAGTAAAGGATTTTGATGATGTGGTCGATCATCCTCTTGTTAAGCCTTCTAGGCAGTATGTTGGAAGTTGGAAAGCCAGTGGTTGAATCTACATAAGTATTGAATACAAGTCAAAGGAGGTGTAGTTTCTTAGTACTGAGCTCTGGTTAGGCCTCATTCAGATTCTTGGGCTTCTTATTTCAATAAGAAAAGAAACACTGAGTTGTTGTGAAGGCTTCAAAGGGAAGTTGCTAGGATAATAAGAGGTTAATAATGGCTGGAGATGGCTTGAATGGGTAATGAAGAAGAACTTTAATACAAGTTTAACATAACAGCAAATGTACAACGTTTCGACAAGGTCTTGTCATCATCAGGTAACCTGAATATAAAAAT